TGATGGAAATGAAGAGCTGTTCCTTGGAAAAACCATGACTTGAAAAAGTCATTGCTAGATGCATGTATAGAGATTCCCTCACCTCCCCAGGATCACTCTATCAGCTCACCACCCAGCCCCATCTCCCAAAGCAACCATGGATACTAGCTCAAGATCTCACCGTAAAAATAAAAGGTCAGGCGACTGAGGCAGGAGGATTGCTGAAGGGCAGGAAGTTGAGCTCAGCCTAGACAACATAGTTAGATCCCATCTCTACAAATTTTTTTTTTGAAAAGTTGTCAGGGCATAGTGGCATGTGCCTGTAGTTCCAGCTACTCAAGAGGCTGAGGTAGGAGGATTGTTTGAGCCCAGGAGTTTGAAACTTTAGTGAGCCATGATTGCGCCACTGCACTCCAGCCTAGAGGACAGACCAAGACCCCCATCTCAAGGGTAAGTAGGTAAATTAATAAATATAAAAAGTGCATTAATAAATTAATTTAAGGTTTCCAGTAAATGACTCTTGGATGTACCACAATGTTAAAGTTGGAAAGGACCTCAGAGATCATCACATTTATGTCCTACTGAATTACCAAGGACCAGGAGGTTATGTGCCTTTTAAAGGGTTGGATTTAGGGAAGGGTAATGTCAGAAGAAGGCAGATGTCCCAGACCTCTTCTTGGTCCACCCCACCAATGCTGACTTAATGATATTTTATGTGGTTCAATATTTTATGTAGTTTAATATGTTTCATGTTACACATATTAATTACTTCTACGGGTTTAAGTTTCCAATGGCGCATAGATTTTTTTCTTTTATATCTAGTTCTTAAGTTCTGTCAGCTAATTTCTGAGTTTTTCCAGTTCTGAAATAATATGTTGTTCTTTCACATCTTGTACTTAAAAAAAAAATCTTTCAGATGTTTTGAAGCTACAGGTTACAATTTTGATCTGCTTTAGGGATGTTTCTTATGTGAGTTCATTCTCTGCGGAAATGCATTCTTTCAATTACACTATTTTCTTCTTATTTGTCTAAATTTAGCCCCCATATCATTTGGTTCCTTGTTTTTAGGTTAGCTTAGCTTCTTTGAACATCTAGAAGAAAATGTAGTTAATGGTAATTTCTCTAAAGTCACAGAATTCCTACTTGTGTTGCTTTTCAAAACCATAATGGTTTGCTTTCTAAAATTTTGGCTGCTTCCTCTTCACCTTCATGTGGACCTTCTATTTCCTTTGTCTTTCTGTTGCCCCAATTTTGCTCACCTTTTATTCCATTGCCACCAGTTTTTCTTTGTTATGAGGTCCTGACCTGGAAAGCATCAATGGTGGCTCAGTTCTGAGAATTCATAGGTACTAGGTCCTTCAGATTTACTCAGGGCTCCTTTCCCTCACCTGCTATTCCACTGGACAAAGTCCCTCTTAGTTTCACGTGCTGCTCTCAGTCTTGCCCACTGTGCTTTCCAGTAAATCCCTACTAAGTACTAAGGAGTTTCTGCTTTTCTCAGGTCCCTCTGTTTTCTTCACACACATATGAATACCATGCAAGTATTACAGCTCACCTGTTTTCATCTATTCATCACTTAGTCCTATTGTAAATGTTGTCCATGGGTTTTTGATTGCTATGCAGTTGTTTCATTCTTGTGTGGGAATTTATAGGGATTAAAAAACTATGATGCCACTGCCACCATCATCCTAAAATCTCAAAAACTACTGGCTTTTTTTCCTTTTTTTGAAGCATTATCACTTTTAAGAAGTCTCCTATTTTTATTTAAATTATTTTTGTTTTTATTGCTTAAAAAAGAATGCTTTTGAATTTCATATACCAATTTTTTATTGCCGCATTTAATCTATTAATACAGCCACATGCCATAATATATATTTAATATTGTATTATCCTCACATTTCTTAAAATATTGGAAATATTTTCTTGTTCTTCTAACTGCAATATTAATTAAAAATGCATTATTGGGATGTTTTATATATGTAACTATACAATCAATAGTTGTTTCAAATATTCATTTAAAAATTTTTTGAAGTACAATTAACTCAGAGTAAGATGAGCAAATCACATGTTTAAGAGTCTCAGAGTAGGTATATCGCTTTAAAAATTACCAGTTTTCCAAAGTGGCACCATTGCATTTTCCCACTAGCAACATATGCAAGTTCTGGTCGCTCCACATTCTATGCTATTTTTGATAGAGGGAGATATCAAGATTACTAAGCCCTAATAAATGATTTTGGAAGGCTTCCATGTTTTTTCTATGCTCCAAAATTTTTCAAATATCAAAGGAAGCATGTGTTCCATCTAAGGCAACGTCCCCATGATGTCTATCAGTCAGAATCACTAATGCTTATTTGGTTCATCTAGCTGACTAGTTGGGTGGATTATCTTCTTCCTTCAATGTTCACTCCAAATATATAACTTCAAAACATGATTATCGTTTCTTCCTGGTGAACGCTATGTAAGTGCCTGTGTTCCTTTAAAGGAACACCAAACAAGCTCTTAACATTTATGGGGTGTATCAATGAAGAGGTCAAAGACTTTGTTAGAACATTATATATGTAATTTTAAGAGTGAAAAGCCAGAAAGTGAAACTAGAAATTTAGACAATTCTTAGAAATGCTTGCATGTGAAAAGAAGCATCAGTCAGAAAATACATGGTTTTGAAATGCTGAAGGAAATAGCATCCAAAGAGGGAGAATCAGAGAGAGAAGGAAACATGAATTTTTCTCTTTCCTCTCTTTTCCACTAAAATGTAAACTCAACGAAGGCAGGAATTTCTGCCCACTTTGATTACTGTTGTTTGTCCAGGACTAGCACAAAGCCTAGAATTCAAGAGGCACTCATATTTGTGTATCATTAAATAACAGAAGGCATGGTGGGGACTCAGTCAGTAAACACTGGGGAAGAAGATAACTTTTGAAGCTAATGGATAAGTTTATGGCCTGAATGCGGTGGTCTCATAAGGTGTATACTTAACTCCAAACTCATCAAGTTGTACACTTCAAATATGTACTGCCTTTTGTATATCATACTTTAAGAAAGTGGTCTAATAAACAACAACAACAAAAAAATGAAATAAAAAAAAAAAGCCCTACACGAGAGGCTAAAATATCTTGCTTACAATTCTTTTTGCATTTATCCTGAGCACAGGATATAGTCCATATTCTGTAGTGTGGCATTTCAGACCTTTCAAAATCTAACCTAGCCTACTTTAACCTATCTCTTTCCCTCACCCCTAAATCTCAATGCTTTACAAATATCTCCACACACTTTTGTATCCCCTATGGCTTTATTTATAATCTCTCCTCCTCCAGGAAAAACCTTCCATACCACTGTGCCCGATGAAATTCTACTCATTTTCCCCCAGTTACTCACTTACTAACCTGGGTGTGGGTAAGAATAGCAGGTAAAATCTAGAGTCCTTAGTATGTGCTGGGAGCTATGGTTCTGTCCTCAAACATTCTGATAAGACAGGTGTCATTTGCATTTGAAACTTGAGGAACTAAGTTTCAAGGAAGTTGTGATTGCTCAAAATAACAGATAATTGGTGGCTGAACTGTAATTGAGCCCCGAATGACTTGATTCTAAAGCTTGTGCTCTTTCCCCTACACCATATGACTTTCCAGGACAATCCATCATTCCTTTAACTAGGAATACACTTACCTTTTGTATTCAAATTATCTTTATCTGTCAATACACTGTGAGTTCTTTGAGGGCAGGGATTACTTTATCCCTCTTTTTACCCAAAGGGCTACTAATGAGCGTAAGAACTTATTTTACTGAATGAAAGTGAATTGTAGTGTTGTTTACAGGATAGATTCTAGGGCTCAAAGAATTCCATGCTAAACATTTTAAACACAATATATTTTCCCAAAAGTGAGAATTCCAAGGGGCCAAAGCAACCCTGTTCACATAGATCCCAGATCAAACACATGAGTGTAAGGCACCTACTCTAGCCACCTGACTTTCAAAGAAGTTGCCATCAGCCTGAAATGAACTCCTTGAGGTTACTTCTAAGTCATCAGAGATATGGAATAGGGTGGAGCAGTTCTTGGTAAATCTGCTGTCTTGTTTTCTGGCAAGAAACCATAGCCTTGGAGAATTAAGAGCCAAGTGTGTTTTTCAGTTGGATTTAGAATATTTATCCTGCAAATAGTTGACCTAGTGCCTTTATTCATGTACTTTATTCTAGTGGTGCCTGTAATCCCAGCTATTCGGGAGGCTGAGGTGGGAGAATGGCTGGTGGAGGCTGCAGTGAGCCAAGATCGCACCACTGCACTCCAGCCTGGGTGACAGAGCGAGACTATCAGGAAAAAAAAAAAAAAAAAAAAGTAAAAGGAAAAAAAAAGGTGTGGGTAGCATGGTGAAATAGTGTAAAATTTGAACAATAATGGGCTACATTACAGGGCAATGAACTATTGCACAACAATTTAAAATGATGGAGCTATATTTTAGTGAATTGTAAATATTTTCAAAATTCATTGAGGAAAGCTGATTAAATGAAGCATACACTTTGCTTTATACATGTGTTACACTAAATATTTATTTTGTACATTAAGTTTAAAATTTTCAATACAGCTCATTGGTAATGTGAAATACAAAGGCTCCTAAAGAGGAAATAGACTGGCACCAGTCAAAAATTTTACTGACACCAGGTCGGGTGTGGTGGCTCACACCTGTAATCCCAGCACCTTGGGAGGCCGAGGTGGGTGGATCACGAAGTCAGGAGATCGGGACCATCCTGGCTAAGAGAGTGAAATCCCGTCTCTACTAAATACAAAAAATTAGCCGGGTGCAGTGGCGGGCGCCTGTAGTCCTAGCTACTCGGGAGGCTGAGGCGGGAGAATGGTGTGAACCTGGGAGGCGGAAGTGGCAGTGAGCCAGGATTGCGCCACTGCACTCCAGCCTGGGCAACAGAGCCAGACTCTGCCTCAAAAAAAAAAAAAAAATTTCCTGACACTAGAAACTGTGTGATACAACTATTATGAATTGTTTTAAAAAGAATGGAACATAAGAAATTATTTTAATAGTACATTAAACATTTTATTTAAATTAAAAAGTATAACAAAATCACACACATTTGTTCCACGGTTTGGATAAAATTTCCAATTACTTTCAAATAATGCACACATAGTATCTCATGGATCAAATTCCATACTTTTCAATATGGTCATGAGATAGGTTGTATTCCAAAATTCGGTATATAAATCCATACATTATACTCTATATATTGACTTTAAATAATCTAACTATAAAAGTCATTTTTAAAAGTCAAAGCAATTTATTTCTAATGAAAGTTACAATGTGCATACCATATTGACACCTATTCAATAGATAAAATCTACAAAAATCTCTTTTTTGTGAATACTATTTATACTGGAATGCAAATTCACATAAAAACACTTCCTTTAAAGCATGTTCTATTTAATGCAAGAAATTAAATGTGAGATACTTTTAAAATTGCAAGCTTTATTTTTAATCAAACCAATTCAATTTTAAGTTTTTAGATCATTAAGTCTCATACAACTTCTTCTAATTTAGCTAAAACCATCATTGACAGGGTTTTATTATTACATTTGGCCTTAACCTTAAAAAACAAATTTGTTTACATCTCACATTTAAAAGGGACATTTTAAACCCTGAGTAAAAAGACATATTTTTACAAGTCCAATTATAACAATTCTACCCCATTTTCTTGCAATGCTTTCATTAGATAAAAACTATTATTAAAGTTTTGATTTTTTAGAATATACTGTTTAGAAGGTTAACGCTTTTCATGACGTTAAAAGTTTCTAAATGTATCTTATTAGTATCTTTAAGTAAAAATTCTTATTTCTATATGGATATTATAAAACACCTCTTCTTTAGACTGTTTAATTATTTCACCTTAATCACAAAAAATGATCAAATACTACACTCTTAAGATAATTTTTCTTTCTTGGTTTTGGGCTATTGTCTTTTCAATCTTAAAAGTTAAAATTATTGTTTTCCTATATCTAATGATACTTTTTAGGCATAGATTTTTAAGATACAAAAATAAAATGTAGTTTAGTATTTTATCATTACCACCTTCTGCAATGAGTCTGTCAGATCAGAGGCTTTCCTCACTAGGAAACCTAGCTTTAAATCAAATACTGGTTTTCTTCTTGTAATTCACACCTATCTATTGAATCAGTTACCCAACTTTCTTTTAAGATTTTAAACTTTCTCTTAAAAGTTCTTCTAAAAGCTTTAAAATCTGCAACACGACTATGATCTTCCCCAATGATTACATGAGACACTCCCTCAGCTAAACAAGAAACTACCTTTGCTCCATGAAACCGAAGCTCCAAGGCTTTAATAGCTAACCTTGTCCCCTCAGTTTTGGTACTCAGGTCATTAATAACAACATACAAGTCCAAATAAATGGTGTGGCGTCGAAACATACTGAGAGGAGAGCAATCCCAGGAATATCGATATTCTAAATCAGCAATCAAAGAAGCCATTTCTTCAGGAGTCTGCTCGTAAGAATTTTTAATTCCTGAGAATACTTCCTTCAGTTGGTTCAAATCTGTATCAACGAAATAACTATCACCATAGCAATCATATTCACGGGCAAAATGTTCTTTGGTTGATGGGCACATATGAATCATAAAGCGAGGCTGCCATGGCACAAAGCTTTTGGTCTTAAAACATTCTAAAAGCCATGCAGGCTTGACAACATCATGTTTATTTGACAAAATTATGTTTTTCACTCTGATGTTCTTAGACCCTGCAATTACACAGTACGTGTCTGGGCCTGGATTTTGCACTATATAACCACCAAGTTCTGCAATTCTGTTCTCCAGGTCAGGCTTTGGCTGGCTATCTGTTCCACTCATAACACAAAACTCCACATCTTCAAATATATTAGAAATTTTGTTAACGTTAGTAAGGTTAGGTGCTTTTAAGTGCTCAATAATTCCAATAACTTTCTTCATCTTTGGAGCAGCTTTTCGCTTTTTTTCTTGTGGTCCATCATCACCACCTACATAAAGGTGTTTAGATGCGAGCTTACCAGATGCTTTCCCCCTAAGTTGTTCTAGGTCGTCCAGGGTCATGCACTCATGCCACTCTTTGTCTTCTCTTATCTTCTCAATTCGTGGAAAACGCAAGGTGCAGCCAGTTTTATACATATCACTGGGTACGATCTCTGCTGCCTTAATCTGAACAATGACAGAATTACAAGGTTCAATGTACACTTCTGGCTTCTCTGTTCCACATAAAATGCTACTTGGTGGAGCTTTTTTATGAAAAGGCTTCCAATACTTGGCCAGTTTCAAACCCAGATCATACAGTTCTTTCATGGTGCAGCCAGAGCCAACACGAGAGAGAGTATGAAACACAGATGGCTTCTCACCAGGAGGGGGCTTTTCTGCTACTGCACACAAAAAATGAGACATCATTCCACCCCGTGATCCTTTACCCCAATATCCTCCAACAATTAAAATGTCCAATTCATCCATTAGTCCAGTGACATACTCTGGTTTAATTTTTAACCACCCTTCACCTCTTTTGTCTGGCTTGTAGATGGATAGAGGTTGTTTTATCATGATTCCCTCTTCTCTTTTATCTATTGCTTCATTCAGTGCATCAATTACTTCATTCTTAGTATGAGCTTGTGTTTTCTGCACTATTTCTATTCTACCTGGAATTGGTGTAAAAATACTACAAAGAATTTCATACCTCTTTCTCAGAGTCTCATGCCCTAGCTTTTTATTATTAACCATCAATACATCAAACACACAATAACAAGTTTGCAGATCAGAATCTTCTACCATTCTTTTAATATCAAACTTAATTCCCTTTTGCATGAAAGTTTGTGTATTAGGATTATAGGCCATCATCTCACCATCAAGAATACAGATTTGTATATCTGTTTTGAATGTATTATGAATGAATGGGGTAAGAGAACCTTCAGTAGGAGAAGCACCAAACTGATCAGTATAGTTATATCCATTTCGGGAGAAGTATTTATATACATCTCCATCTTTGTGCATTTGCATACGTTCACCATCTAGCTTGGTTTCTATGTAGAAACTCTGATGTTTCATATCCTTCTCAATGTGCTCAATATCTGCAATAGCAGCTAGCATTGGTTTAAAGGCAGAAAATAAAGTGATAGAAATATCACTGAGTCCTACAGAAGGATCATGCAGTTGCCTACAGACTTTTTCCAGATCTGTAGTGACATTATGCAACTCAACAGCATCATTATGAAAAACAGAAAAGATAGTTTGCTGACTAACACCAAGCTTTAAATCCTTTATGATCATCCGTATAAGCCACTTTTGCTCAAGGGCTGAACTCTGAGTTATAAGTTGAAGAAGGCTCTTTTTTATCAGGTCTTTTCTTTTAGCAGAATTATTGCTGGCAACTGAGTCTAAAAGGTCGTTTACTTGCTGTATGGTTAAACTTCCTTTCTGTAAACATCTTGGCTTCAACACAAAATATGCAATCAATGCAAAGTCTCCAGCATCTCCATGAGTTCCAGTGGGTGTTCTGTAGTTTAAAAGTTTGAGGGCATCTTTTCCATCTCTAGGTAAATTAAGCAACTCAATATAAAGCTTAGCAAGCATAGTTTCTTTAATTCCATAGGCCATTCTCTCTCTTTCTAGCTGAGGAAGAATTAGTCTCATTGCTGGATAAAAAGAGTCTGTGACATCTTTTTGGTTCTTATGAAGAGCATCATGAAATTTTCTCCAAGAATCTAAAAATTCCCTGAAGTGTCTGATTTTTTCTGCACGTCCTCTACTTTTCTGTATTCGTTCTAAAGTTGAACACAAATCTGCAAAAGGAACGTGAGATGCAACAGTTTGTGAAGTTGGTGAGGCAGCCATCAAAGCGGTGATGAATCTTCTCGTTTAACTAGTAAAGCAAAAAGAGAATAACTTTAAGTAAAAGATAAGATTCAACTAAATATTTAATGTAAAGACCTTACAATGATCACCGAGATCACAATAAATGTTTATTGTTTGCTAAATAGATCAATGCTCTAAATGATGTATCTTTTCAACCTCTACATTTAATAACTATTTTGTTTCAACCCTAATTTGAAATTACTATGAAAAGTATCATCAGCTGTATAGCTATTTCCTGTATTTATAATACAGAAATCATTTCAATTTTCTCCTTAAATTCTAATTATTCTATATATTAATTATTTAGCACATAATACAAACAAATATTGCTAATAATGGTGACAAAAAACCTCATCAGGCTTAATTCACTTCACTTCTGAGCTTCTGAGGGAAGGCCCCTCACGTATGTCTCTTCTTTCCCTGTCAGACTACCACATAGCACCAGAAATGAACTTCTTCAAACAGATGTTTATAACAAATCACTCGTTTGCTGAATTGAAATTTGACTTCCTAGAAATCCTAATCATAGGCAGGGCCCTTGACCAAAAAACAAAACAAAGGGAAACACAGGTACCCTCTTCTTCCAGCCAAGCAAAGCCTATGTCTATGTTTCCTTTCACTTCTTCACTGCTAGCTATGCCAAATCACACCAGCATTCAATCTCAACTCAAAATGCCCTACCCACAATATCCTCACTTTATCTATTTTACCATAGTTACTTACTGTCTTGTAAGTATAAATTTATTAGTATGCTTATTTTTTTCATATTTCCAGGCCAGTTATTCCCTAAGTATTTAATGACTACATATGAGATGTGCTACATACACCGTGCCAGGGGAAAATACCGCATGTTTCTGCTTTAAAAGAACATATATTCTGTTAAAAAAAAAAAAAAAAAAAAAAAAAAAAAAAAAAGAAAGAAAGAAAAAAAAGGTTGGAGGGAGTGCAATGGAAAGTGAGTATAATAAAATGCCAAGTGCTCAAGTGCTTTAACAAAATAAGACAAACGTAAAATGTCCTGAGGGGAGAGCTTTTCCCTAAAGTGTCTGCTAAAGTCAGAGAAGAAATAATGGGTATCTTGCTGAGCTAGGGCAAGAATATTTCCTAAAATTTCACAAGTGTAAATTTTTTTAGTTTTAAATATTCATACAAGTTCTACTGGAAGATAAATATATTAATTTTAATATGGTTTAAACTCTGTAATGTTAAAATAACTTTTCCAAAAAAAGATTTCAAGTAAAATGTATGCTCCATGAATAGAAACTATGTTTTATCCTGTGGTTTCAGACACCTCCTGGCACACCATGTATCTCAGGCAGTGGAGTCAGAGTTTTACTGGGAGTGGGGAGATCTATTACAGTGCAGAGAACATGTGGCTCCCCATCTTCCAATTCTCCATCACAGCAAACAAATGAGCCACACACACATGCACAAGGCTACATTATCTAGTATCCAGTAAAATAAATCAAATGGCTAATTACAATACTACATTTACTATACTGTCAGTCTCTAGAGGCCAGAAATTGTGCTATAATTTGTGCTACTAGTGGCAGACATGTAGGAGGTTTGCTGAATGAATTACTGAACACCTAGAGTTGACTCCTGGATAAGCACACTAGGGAAAGCTATGGTCTGGTTACATACCACACACTCACACACACAGGCAGATGCACAGTGGGTGAGATTCAGTTTGGTTAAAAATATTCAGTAACTCTGACTGCCCTGGCAATGGTTCACAACAGCCATTTGGTGGCCTATAGAGAAAAAAGCTGCACTTCTCAGTCTAATTTCTGACAAAGGAAACCCAACTTCTACTGAGTGGGTTAGATCAAGGGATAAACCCATGAAAGACCACTTTTCTGAAACTTTTATCTTTGAATATACTGTTGTTTCCTCTCTCTGAATCTGGTTTGCATAACTGACTATAACACCTGGTTATGTATGTTCACTGCCCTATCTCTCAAAATATGCCCCCTCAAGGGAGTACATCACAGTACACAATGCTAGATCTACAATTTCTATATAAACTATGTAAAATGAAGTAGGTTAATATTTCTTTAATGTTCAAATATTGGTATATAGTTTCTACAGATGTATCTATAGATTCTATATGGTCTCAAAGTTAAAGTTTCGCTCAACAAATCCCAGGCAAGGACTTAAATTACTTTATAATGACAAAATGTAGGTAATGGTGTGGATACACATGTATCCTAAAACGGCTACACAGATAACAAGGATTCCAAAATTGCTATAAACTAGCATAAGTATTTTTACTCATTACAATGGCATACAAAGTCAAAGATTAGGCCTTGCATTCATTTTTACATGCTAATTTTATTTTTTGGATTCTGAGGATTTTAGCTGATTCATTCCATTTGCGATAAGACAAATGAGGAGGTTCCTGGTTAGGGCTCAGGTTTTGGACTCTAATAAATCTGAGTTCAAATGTGGATAGTAACATTTAACAGCTGTGTGATACTGGGCAATTACTTAATTTCTCTAAGCTTCTGTTTCCTAAAGTATAAAATGGGGTTAAAAACTATGTAGAAATTAGAATGAAGATACAATCAGATAACCTACAAAATGTGCTTTAAAAAGTAGTAAGTCTTGATAATTTTAATACTACAATGCTTGCTGATCCAAGCAACATTTAAAATATAAATATTGTAAAATACTAAGGAGATAAAAAGGTGGGAAGAAGCTTCACTCTTTAACAATAAGCAAAGCTTTCAGGAGAATGAATGCAAGCATTTAGTACACAATAATGATTCATCATTCATTCAGTTGCTGACTAAATTGTCCTGAAGTGACACATGAAAACAAACCGGCAGGTTTTACTCAGAAGTAAGAGACTATGGAAGGTGATTAAGTGCTATGTTATTGCACTTAAAAAAGGCAGAGGAAAAAAAGGAGAAAGTGACTAATACAACTGAAGTATCCTTCATGCAATCCTTGACAAGCTGTGTTTCCCTAGGAAACAAAGGGTTTACAGTTGTCTATCTTCCACAGCACTTAGTGACAATTTGGGATAGTCTCAGCAGAAAGAAATGAGCGGACAAAGAGGCTAGAAGGGCTCTGGGATCCCAAAAGTTAAAGAAAAACCAAGTGTAAGTAGAGAAATAAAGTAATTCCCTCCAAGCCTAAAGTCTCTCCCGCTCCAATGCCCCCTGTACCCCCTCGGAAAATGGAAAATCCCGAGGGAATCTACATCATTCCTCTGCTCGTTTCCCCTATTCTCCCCCAACACTTAACGGATTCCCAGTGAATACCTGGCCTCGGGCAAGCTCCGTTACCTCTGTGAACCAGGGAATCCCAGCTGTAAAATGAGATCTTGATGGTTTCCTGCGGGATTGCCATGAGAAAGCATCAGCATGTAAGCAGGTAAAGCAGGCAACACAGTTCCAGGGAGTCAAAAATGGGAGAAATCGTCCCACGACCTGGGGCTTGGGTCTAGATAAGGGCACAGCATCAAGAGGCCAGGCTTCTAATGAGGAGCAGTCTGCAGCGCGTCAACTCGGCAACCCCCATCACCTGTCGCTGCACAAACGCCCTGCTTGCCCCTCCACAGACCCACCCCCGCCTGAAGCCCCTAGACCTCCTGCCTGACGACCCCCAGACACCCCGCCTGATGTCCCAGATACCCCCCACCTGACCCCCAATCTGACGCCCCACATCCCCCCACTTGACTCTCCACACAACCTCCGCCTGACGCCCCCCAGAAGCCCCGCCTGACATCCCAGACACCCCCCACCTGGTCCCCCAGACCCCCAACCTGACGCCCTATACCCCTCACTTGACTCCCCACACACCCCACACCTGCTGCCCCACACAACCCCCGCCTGACGCCCCACAGACCCTCTGCCTGACTCCCCACAGACCTCCCCCTCCTCCTGCCGCCACACACACCCCAAACCCCGCCCCGAACACCCCCCACCTGCCGCCCCACGGATCCCCCGCCTGATACACCACAGACCCACAACCTGACACCTACAGACCCCAACCTGACGCCTCACAGACCTCCCCGTGGTCTGCTGCCCCACAGACTTCCCGCCGCCTGCTGGACCACACCCCCCGCTTGACTCCCTCCACACCCCCAACCTGCCACACCTCATCCCCCCACCCCCATGCCAACTCCCCCCCAACCCCACCTGCCACCCCGCACACTTCCCACCTAACGTCAAGCCTGAGGCTCAGCTGTTAAGCCGGAAGCTGGCGCCAGAAGATGCCGGTTCCGGCAGCCGCTGGCCGCGCAGGCGCAGGGCAGACCCGAGGCCGTGCCGTCACTGGCCTCTAGCACGCCGGCGCAGCCAGGCTCGCGAAGGGAGGTGGGAGGGCCGGCAGCCCCACGGAGCAGGGGAGGCGGGACCTGGAGCATCCTGGTTAGGGTCTTGAGTACACACGGCTCCTATTGACCTCAGCAGCAGATGCTCTTTGCAAGCAGTTGATCCGCACGCCAGTGGATATTGTCTTGAGGGAGACCTAAGATCACTTTGTGCCCTGGCTAGTGATAGCCTCTAATTCTTGTTCTCTGTACGTAAAACAGTGGTAACTATACTATTTCGCTGATTGTGAAATCTCCCAAGAGAGAACAGGGCATCCCACCTCAAAAAGTCGGTTGTTTCATTTAAACTTTAAAAAAATAGGCTTTTGCAAACTATATAGAGCTGTTTTCTTTTTTTTTTTCATGATGTTTGCTACTGTGGTCTGAGTTATCTTAATAGAGCAATAATACATAACAATACATAATTTACAATACAGAATTCAACAGTTGCATGACCAGAAATTAACTATGAACTCTTCTAGTATCTGTTTAAGGATTAAAAATAAAGTTATTAACAAACCTTTATTGAGCACCTATTATTATATAGTAATGGTGCTAGATATTCAGGGTGGAGAGATTAAAAACAATCCCAGTTTTTATGTTCCAGGAGCTGCTGGTTTCCACCGAATTTTTGCTGTGGTCCGTCCTCTTTCGCCATGGAGAAGTGAGAAGTTATTCATAAAGAGTGGTGGGAACAACTTTTAGAACTATTTTATTTTAGCATAAAATACTGCTTTACGATAAAACAAATTTTGCTGCAGTGGGCCCTGATAAAGCATATTAGAGTTGTTAAGTGCCTTAGAGGTGGTGTAATGTATAAAAACCTCGTTTTTCAAAACTGACACATTTCATTCAGTGCTAGTTTGTGGTGGCGCTAGAACTTAGGGTTCCGTCTAGCCCAAGAACATTTAGTTATTTACTTTGTATGTCTAATTGACCTAAGTAGCCTGAATATCTAAACTTACCTGTGATGTTGTAAAGTCTCATGATACTGTTTGGTATCTACTCTTCAATTTAGTTATCAATTTATTTTGGAGGAAAAATGAACAGTGTTAAGGTAGAGGAGCCTCCATTTGCCCATCTTATGAGAGGGTACCTATTCGTGTACATCTGTACCTTGTTCAACCTCTACTGAGTTCCTACAATGTCAGAAGCTGGACTCTGTATTAGTTACATGAGAGGAACCATGAATTACGAAACCAGGCAAACTCCAAATTGATTTAAAGCCCAGTCTCCATTTTATCATGTTATTTTAGTTGCTTGGTTCAAAGACAATCAAGGGTTTTTTTCACTATCTTCTAGAGTTGCCATGATTATTAATTTACTTATGTAGATGGTATACTTTAGTGCTTGGCACTTACTTGGTAATTGACCTTAGGAAGCTATGAATCAAGAACCCAGCTTTGACCTGGAGCTCTCGATCTGGTAGCAAGACACATATGTTCAACAAAACCACCACCACAGGCCGGGTCGGTGGCTCATGCCTGTAATCCCAGCACTTTAAGAGGCTGAGGTGAGCGGATCACTTGAGGTCAGGAGTTCGACACTAGCCTGGCCAACATGGTGAACCCCCGTCTATACTAAAAACACGAATATTAGGCCGGGCGCGGTGGCTCACGCCTGTAATCCCAGCACTTTGGGAGGCCGAGGTGGGCGGATCACCTGAGGTCGGGAGTTCGAGACCAGCCTGGCCAACATGGTGAAACCCCGTCTCTACTAAAGAAAAATACAAAATTAGCCGGGCGTGGTGGCGCATGCCTACAATCTCAGCTACTCAGAGGGTGAGGCAGGAGAATCGCTTGCACTCTGGAGGCGGAGGTTGCGGTGAGCCGAGATCTTGCCATTGCACTCCAGCCTGGGCAACAAGAGTGAAACTCCGTCTCAAAACAACAATAACAAAACAAAAACAAAAATTAGCCGGGCGTGGTGGCGGGCTCCTGTAATCCCAGCTACTTGAGAGGCTGAGGCGAGAGAATCGCTTGAACCTGGGAGGCGGACGTTGCGGTGAGCTGAGATCACACCATTGCACTCCAGCCTGGGCGACAAGAGCGAGGCTCCGTCTCAAAAGGGGGGAAAAAAAAGAAACCCACAAATTTATGAAATATCCTCTGTATATACAAAATAGGGGACATAGAATAAGGAAAGCCCAAGGGAGGGGGAGGCACACATCTGTAAACAAACAAGTGTGTACACTTCAGTGCACAGGGGGGTTGACAGTGAAGCTAATGAAGCCCAAGTTTCAAGGGCCCATTTTTGTGAACACTTCCAAGGCCTTGAGAGGGGCCCTAACGAGGTGTTCCCATGGTCGTGCACCTCAGTAAAATTTGCAAAAATAAGATAATTTTACATTATTTTTCTTTAAAAGGGCTCTCCAAATGGCACAAGTTTCAGGCCTCACAAAACCTGCATTCGCCCTTGACAGTCCACTCTGGTAGGGGTAAAAGGAGAAAAACAGAAGCGCTTTAAATCCTGGACCTCATTGCGACACCCTTAACAACCCTATTAGGCAGAACAAATTCCTCCGCAAACCTGCGGTTTGCAGAGCGATGGTGGACTCCCGAGCTCATCGGGTCAGGCACCTCTTCACCGCGGAGGCCTGGGGTACGTAACTGGAGGGACTCCTGGTGCTCGGAGGAGGGTTGAAGGCCAAGATCCCCAGGTCGTGGAACAGGGAGCCGGGCCCACGCCGCCGAGGTATCTTTTCCGTCCGGGCCACCGTCGCGGGGGCTCCCCGGGCAGCGGCTTCTGCGCATGCTCGGGAGAGCGGGCAGGGTTCCCACTCCGGGAGCGGAGACGGAGAACAGGTTATGTGGGAGCCGGCGGGGGCATTTGCCGGCGACACCCGAGCGGGGGCCGGAAGTGGGGCCACAGCGCACCGCAGGAGCTCCGGGCTAGACCGTGGCGACGGCAGCGGCCCCTGGGCTGGAGGAGGATGATGAGGAGCGACGGAAGCGACGCGGGGGTACGCTGCTGCGCGGCGCCCGGTTTCGTGCCCGCGGCCGACTGCGCAGCCTGTCCGCGAGTCTGAGTAAGTGCGGCTTGGGGACCCCGAGCCCGCGGGGCCCGAGCGCCGGTCCGCGCCTTCTAGGAGGGTCGTGGGGAGCCGCCGGCTCCTCAAGGCAGGCGCGAAACCCTCCCGGGAGGCCGTGGGGGGAGCCCCGAGGCCAGTGCGGCTTCCCGGGGGGGTCGTGAGGGGGCCGAGCGCCGGGGGCTGTGGAGGACCAGCCCGGGGCACCGTGCCGGCCCGCGCTGCAGCCCTGCCGGCCGCCCCTATTCCGTTCACCCCTCACCAGGGGCAGCAAACTGAAGCCACATACCTGTTTTGGAAACTAAGGTGCGCGCATTGCCAGAGGCTCGCCGGGTGTCGTTTTGTAATTGGAACCGAAAACGTATCTTAGTGTTCTGTGTCAATTGCATTTCCAGTAATGTGTACAAACCTGCGATCTTTAAAATCCAACCCTCCTCTCCCCCACAGACATGAAAAGTAAAATAGAATAATTCCAGCTACTAGGTTGGAGAAAGGGAGAGTCCCCATCTAATCACGCCAGTAACCTGTGAATATCAGGGCAGGAAGTTCTGGGGTATTCAGGAAACATCAAAAAAGCACCCTATACAATCGAAGTCAATTTTGCTGTAGATTTTAGTCAACATTTCAGTAAAATGAATTACTAGTGTTACTGCCCAAGGTATCAAAACCAAAAAAAGTCCGTCCCCATTTAACAACTCTTATTTATGTTTACTATGTGATAGTAACTGGATAGAGAGAGATGAGTATATTGGCTTTGTGTGTTGGTATTGGATTTTCACTGATCTCTTTTGACGGGAGAGGGTTCGTGGATCAATACTTATTGGTATGCATGCTTAGGGAAATCACTCGTCTTTGACTAAAATATCAAATTTTATTTTACTGTGTAAGATTTCGTGATTGCCCATTTAGTGTTAATGCCATGATATCCTACCTAAGACATCAGCTGCTCAATTAAATAGTTGTTAATAGAGGCCGACTATGCATCAGGCACTGCTGCATACTAAAAATGTGGAGTTGGATAGGATGAGGTCTCTGTCATCAAGGAACTCACAGCCTGTGTAAGCAGGTTAATTACGCTGTAATAGTAACTTCTGCCACGTAAGTTTGCACAAACTAAAGAATATGGAATGGATGGCAGGAGGGAGTAGGGGTCCAAGGAAAGCTTTTTGGAGGATCTACTACCTGAGTTTGGTTTTAACAGAAAAAGAGTGCATTGCTCTGATTACTTCCTGTGTTCGGATACGGTAGCCTCTAGGAAATCCATTATTTAATCCAGGACTAATAGGACTTCTAGTTGTCCTTACTTTCACATACTCTGCTATAGTAGATAATTAATTTAAATTTTGTCTCATAGAAGTAGCTGCACTTAACACACTGTTACATTTTATCTCAACAGTATTTCAATTTAATCTTTCATCCTCCTTTTACATGTGAGGAAATACATATTTAGAGAGGCTAAGTGAGTTGGCAAAAGCTACCTATCTATTAACAGACCATGACCCAAAACACTGTCTCCTTTCCATTGCACCACACTGCCTCCAATTGAGAGTTAACTTGGAATGATGAAAGCAAGCCAGGTACCTACAGGTAGCTCTTGGCACACTGCTCTCTTCTTGGACACATCAAAGGCCTCTTGACATGTGAATAAGAGGGTTTACTAACCAAATTGCCCTGGGCTAACAATATAACTTAGTGATAGGTGCAGGAAGCTGTTGGACTAACATTTTCCCATGATCTGTCCTCATAATTTATCTCAGGGGAATCTATTTCTGTTTCTCTGTTTAATGTATTACTCAGATTTTGAAATCTTTCTAATCCTTGTTTAGTTGCGTCAGGAAAGTCTTAAGACCTTTAAATAGCCTTTTTTGTGTGTGTGTAGACTTAAAAAACGCTCCAGTTCTTCTAATGAAGATAGTTTTCCTCAAATGACAGATTTTGTAATCCATTATTACATTTTATGTTTCTGTTTCACACGGTGTTAACTCCTACAACAGTGCATTCTGCTGAAATTCCTTGCAAAGATGTAGTATTTCCAGTACATGGACTACAGGCATTGATGAGCTAGCCTGAGAATCTCGATACTTCTAGTAAGGCTTCTAGTTGTACTTACTTTCACATACTTAATGTTGCATAACACTGGTTTTATACAAAACAAATATTCTGAGTTTCATCCATCTAGTTTATAGGTAAAGTTTTAGAACATTGCCCATTTATAAATTGGAAACTTTGTGAATTTCATTATCAGTCTTAACATCACTACAGTTTTAGGCTTGTGGATTTTTTTTTAAACATTTCAGATATTTATAATCTCAGAACAAATTGTGGTTGGCTTCCATAGTAACAATAATCTCTCATTTTACTTCTGCCAGAGTTGACTCTATTTGCCAAGCTTTTCAAGCACGAAAAAGCTACTAAGTATAATTTTTGAGCTATGTGGTATAATTTTTTGAGCTATTTGAGTTATTTGCTCATGCAGATTTAAATCCTAGTTAAAAATGCTGTCTGAACTATCCAGATATTATCCAGCATCTCCATAGGCAGTTACTGTTCATTTGTCCCGTAGGACTATCAATACACACTTTTTCATTATTGATGGCATGTGGGTAACCATTAGGGAAATGGATAATTCATTCTGTGGTGTCTCCAACACCTTGATAGCAGCTATTTGTGTTTCCATTTTAGCTGTGCAGCTGGCATGGTTTCTTAACTTCCCAATGCTTAACAGAAGAGGAGAGAGATTGATGTAACAATACTGAATCTGATTTCCACATTACTTCACATGTGATTGGAAGCTGTGATTCACACAGAGTCATTAATGAGCACCATGGGGTGTGGGGTCCTCATTCTCTGCTGGCATGTGGATGTTGGCATTGACACATGAACTCGCTTTCCACTTTTTACAGTCTTCACTTGAACCTGCACATTGTTCTTTCCACTTGTAGGCGTCTTTTTTTTTTTTTTTTTTGTTTAAATGTATGAACTGTTTTTATTTTTAAACAAGCTGTTCCCAAAATTATCAATTTAGGATGGACTTAAAGACCTTTAAAGAAATAATAGTACATTTATGACTTAGGACTTTTTAATTGTATTTGAAATTGTTTAGCCTTTTGCCAAATTGTTTTTGGGAAATTCGTTGTAATTCACCTATGGGTAATGCACTTTTTTGTATTTTTAAAAGACCATTTGCTAGTGGCAGAATCCGTAACTCGATATACAATATGCAGTACAATGTACACTTTTTTTTTTTTGAGACGGAGTCTCACTGCGTCACCCAGGTTAGAGTGTAGTGGCACGATCTCAGCTTGCTGCAACCCTGACTCCTGGGTTCAAGTGATTCTCGTGCCTCAGTCTCCCTAGTAGCTGGGATTACAGGCACATGCCACCATGCCCGGCTAATTTTTTGTAATTTTTAGTAAAGACAGTGTTTTACCATGTTGCCCATACTAGTCTCAAACTGCTGGGCTTAGTCAGTCCGCCT